ATCAAGTACCACCCATTTTCACTGCAGCTTATTACTCACAGCAACAAATCTACACCAAGGCCTGAAATGAATTGTTGGAAGAAAACTGATCACTTCAACCACAAGAGATTGAATATCTGTAAAACAATCACGCACATCAAAAGATGAACAAAAAACGAGAGCATAAGAAAAATTGTTTGTACTACAGAAACGCTAAAAAAAACAACACACACACACACACACAATCAGCAAAAGCACGTACAAAAACAATGCAAAAAATATATACAGTATGCAAAGCATAAAAACTGTAAAATAAATTCGATTCCCCGGGAGAAACGATTATTGAGACGCATTCAAAAATCGCTCGCAATCCGCAGGCTTATAACATTGCGATGTTTTTTGTATCCGAAAGTTGGTTCGATTTTCGAACCATGACGTTTGTTCTCACACTGATAACAATCGCGGTTTTGAAAGAAATACTAGAATATTTGACAGGTCCAAAGATTTTAAAATACTCCTTACTAACATTGGGAGATTTCTCAGCATATAAGGAAATCTCGAAGTTTTCTTCAGATTCGTCATCAAAAGATTATTTCCTCTAGATTCATCATCAGACTAATTGGGACTTTATAAGATGACGTCACGAATCAGCGTACTTGATATATAATTAATTTCCTCTTTTTACTTTGAAAATAATCGGAATACTTATTTAGGGCACAATAAGACGACGAAAATAAATGCAAAACTTCACTTTCTGATCAAAAAATTGAAAAGCTTCCGTCACCCAAGAAAATTCTCTTCTTGATTAGGTCCAAACATTTTTTCAGAGGAAAGATTGAAGTTTAACACGAGAGCATTGAAACAGAGCAAACAAAGTGGTGAAGTAGGAACCGATCCATGCATAGAAACAGCAAAAAGAACAAAATATTCATCAGAAAATGTCGACACGGAAAAACGAATTGAAAAAGCGCATCACTACAATGGGAAATACGCGGGGAGCTTCAAAAGTTGAAAAAGATGGAGCTAAGCTAAAATAAACCTACAATAATTCAGCACAACAAGGAAGTTTGATATTACTGTAAAAATTTGAAACATCTCAACATAATTGCCACCAATCGACGATTTTTTTTCATAAGTTGAAAAAGATGGAGCTAAGCTAAAATAAACCTACAATAATTCAGCACAACAAGGAAGTTTGATATTACTGTAAAAATTTGAAACATCTCAACATAATTGCCACCAATCGACGATTTTTTTTCAAGCGTCCGTTAAAATGTCCTTCGATCAGAAAAAATTTAAGAATTACTAATTATTTTACTTGAAAATTAAGACAATGTGTAATGATTGAAAGGTGGCACCTGGAAATTAACTTAATCTGAGAGCACAAGCCGCGTTCTGTCGGGCTCATCGTGAATCTTCTGTAAAATGAGAATATAATAAGTAATAACGCCATCGCTCGAACTTTTGGACCTCCGCACGCATCATCTATTTGATTTCTTCAAAAGTAAAACAGAAACTGTCACAGCAAGACCGGTTGCAACTGGGAAACATTACAAAGTCGGCCATTGTAAAAAAAAAAATGCAGAAATTAGAATAACTGTATTACACATGGCAAAACAAACCCAGTTTGAGAACACCAATGTGCCAAGAAACGAAATAAACTATAGTATCTGCATCACATAAAAATGTATATGCAAAACTGAAGAGACGCTGCCACACTTTTTAGCGTAGAATACATTTACTGCAAAACCAAGAGGTGAACAAAAAAATTACTGTTGCAGAAATTTTCTTCGTCTGGTATTTTCTCTCAACTCAACATCATTTCAGAGGGGAGGTCAAAAAATGCCCTTTTGAGCAAATGCACTTCAACAACCATGAAGGAATGCTGATACTGTATCTCTTCGCAAATCGGGTTGATTCTTGTCGGATGCACCACAATTTAAAAAAAAAAAGGAACAAAAATACACGGAAACTTCTCAAAAGATGACTTTCCATTCGGTGAGATTTCCTCTCATTCGTTCGAAACCACGCTGCGTTTTGATGAGACCTGCGGATGTTCTTCTGCTGTCCGACTTCGCTTCAAGCCTCTGGCTGACGAATCCCCTTCATTCTCCGCATCTTGCAATTCTCTTCCGGCGTCGTGTTGACTCGAACGTTTGCCAGTTTCTTGCGACAGGGCCTTTCGTTCGGCAGAGTGTCGAATGGCAGTGGCGCGTTGGAAGACGAGTTCTGGGTCGATTATGACGACGCCGGTGACGTTGTTGACCTTGTATAACCCCAGCATCCGGTTGGCGACTTCGAACATTTGAGATCGATGAGAGATCACGAGGAATTGAGCGTTCTTCGTCTCGTCCTGAAAGAAACACATCACATCATCATCATGTTTTTCTTGACATGAAGATACGAAGCTTCCCCAGAACAACCAACTAATATTCCTCATGTGGATTCTCCCCACTTCAACGCTCCACAAGCGCGATTTTGTTGTTGCGATCAAGCAAGTAAAATACTGTAGTTCGACATTTTCTCATTCCAATTGCACCAAGTCATCCTCGTCAGTTCATTTTCTGCTTCGTTTGGATCACCACGCGTCAAGTCAGGCGAATTCAAGTTTGAATATTCGACATTAGATTGAAAATTTTCAAATATAGGCGGTACACAACAATCTAATACACTCGGACCTCTTCAACTCGAACCTATCCAACTCAAATTTTTGTAATAGTCTCTGTCCAGAGTCATTTTAAAATAATTCAACCTGAACCTCCTCAATTCGAAATATTTCACCGGTCCGAACTAGACATTTCTGAAGACAAGGAAAGAAAGGAAATTCAAACAATCAAATGGCAGTGCCTTTCGAAAGGAAAATATGAAACTTTAATTGGTCTATAAAATCCCAACTTGAGGTTCTGCATCCTGTAGAGTGTACTCATTTATACTGTACTGCAGAATCCTGATTTTAGCCTCTTTTATGGAATGCGAATAATCAAGTAAAAGCTTTTGGACGAACACAGTTGCAGCAAAAATGTCGACCACTATCATTTCTTTTGAAATTTACTAAAAAAAAACAAAAAACTTTCCAGACCCAGTTTCCCTAAACTCCACAACTAGAAACGTCTCCAAGGCTAACGTTTTTGTTGGTCTCTTCATACTCGGCAGAGATGACCGACTGTATTACACGTATTTCCTCAGGAAAAGAGATGTGACACGTTCGAGAAGTGAGCTCATGAAAACTTAAAATAACTTCCCATTCTGAGCATTTTTGAGTTCAAGTTCAAGACACAAAAATGCTTCGGGTCCTGATTTCATGGGTCGGTAAAATTCCATGTTCTTGCTTGTTCAGAACCAGCGCAACTAGGTGAGAAGCCGCAGCAGTTTCTGGTTCGTCATTATTACTGTTTATCTTTCCGTTGGGCCACCTTGTTGTACTGATGGTTTTCGAAATTTTTCTTTCAGATGAGGCACCACACTTCAGATACTGAAACGTTTCACAAAACTCTACTTCACAAGAGGAATATGCCTGAGGAAACCATGAATCGCGTGATTTCTTTTCCAACATGACATTCATCCACGTAGTATTCTCGTGTCACCGTTCACAGGTAAGTCGCGAATCCATGAATAAATCAATCTAGATAACGCACCTTGATGTACGTCGCGACGATGGAAACATTCTTGAAGTCCAATGCCGCATCGATCTCGTCCAATACGTAGAACGGAGTAGGACGATAATAATGCAACGCAAAAACCAGAGCCAAAGAACTTAGCGTCTTTTCACCACCCGACAGCTGCGTGATATTCTTCCACGTTTTCTTCGGGGGCCTCACACTGAATTGAAGAAAAAAATATATGAAATCGAGAATCCAAAAAAATTAATTATGTGTACCTTGATATAACGGTTTTAAGGTAAAAAAATACTCCGCATTTCCAAAAGCACTCACGTGAAATTTACGCCTTCCGTAAAGGGATCCATGGAGTCGACAAGCTCCAACTCTGCAGCTCCGCCAAGAGTTATGAGGTAGTACGTTTCTGAAAGCTTCTGGGTAATGACCTGAAACCCTGCCATAAACTCGTTCGTTCTTCTCGTCCTCATCAGCTCCACCGCGTCACGCATGCATCGATTCCGCTCTTGGGCCTTGTCAAACTCATCAACCAACTTCACAAATTGTCCTTTCTACAATAAATAAAAAGAAGAATGGTTAGCAACTTGAATCATTTAGATTCCATCCATCCCCATTTTTTTTTTTTGTAAACGAAGGATTATCGATTTCTGGAGAGGGTTTGATAGATATCGCCTAAGCTATAAATGAGACAGAGCAATCAGACTCAAAAAAACCTAAACTTCACTCATATTGCATTTCAACCCATTCATTACGAATTCAATCACGTTAACTTTAATCAAGTAAAACCAATCCACAACGGGAGTCACAGAAACCAATAACTTAACCAGAAATTATTTCAAGTTTTTCACCCATCCACGCCCGGCACCATTTCAGGAATGTCAGAAAAAAAATCATAAGTAAGAATTGAGTACTCGAAACGACTACAGTAGTTTTCTGGAATGTCAGACAGTTGTCGACTAAATCACCATTGGAAACGAAAATGACCTGGAGACAATTCCCCGACAACAAGGAGAATTAGAACATGAACAGGCGACATCTACGTAATCGCAATAAAAATGATTTATGAACGGATTTCGGGAGTTCGAAATTTCAACGAAGAATAGCGGAGGAACAATATTATACTAACCAGAGTTGCATGATTCTCTAGCACTTGGAGATTCGGCTTTTCATTTCGCAAGGATTCTTCCATTTTCTTGACGTCCTTCTGCAGTTGATGAAAGTCATACGACTGAAGTTCGTCTTCATTATAAGTTCGAAGTTCCGGTTCTCCCTCCTCGGTATCGTCTGGAATCTTGTACAGTTTCAGCTTTTTCAAGCGTTTATCGCAATCTCTTTTTCGTGGCTCCAAAGCATGAAGTTCATCCATGAGTTTCCCGATCGTCACGCCAATCTCAACGAGCTGCTTTTCCATTTCGACGTGCTTTTGCTGAAATCCACAAATAAAATAGTGAATACAAAATCTGAAAATTCTCTTCAGAGAGACATGAAAATCGAAAGGTACATTAAAACGTCATTACAAAAATTACTTTCGGGAACTGAGTCGAAAGGAAGATGTTTTTGTGAATGAATTGATCTAATAGAGCGCAAAAACGAGTCATATACAAACCTCAGCTTGTTTGCACCGCTCGCTGATTTCATCCTTCACCTTGAGGAGTTCCCCATTTCCATTTTTCAACGTTTCATACTCATTCAACGCCAGGCCTGCTTTCTTTTCAACATCAGCTCTCAGCTGTTTCACTCGCTCCGCTTCTTCTTTCAACGAAACTTTCCTCTGTGACATCTCTTCCAACTCTTGCTCCATCTTGATCAATTTTCTATGAGAAAAACGAGTTGTTGATAGATGTTGACAATTCACTTTACTCAAGTACGGCGAGACTCGAAGCTACAATGTCTTGGGACAGAGGGACAGGAGGAACAGGCCAAAATAGCCACAGAATAACTATCCTAACCTGAACAAACCTCACAAGCGAAATTTTAAAAATTCGGGCTAGAATTACAGTATGTCACAACAATGAAAATTGCGGAGCTGTGACGGTTTTTTACTATTCGGAAGAAAATGCGATTTCACGCCTTCAAGCGTGGCGATTCCCTAGGGTAATTAACCCTCGGTGATAAATGAATATTATCATTTTCACCATTCCATTATTCCAGTAAATACAGCCTCCGAATTTCATTTCAATTTGAGGACACGAGAAAATAAGCCCAAAAAAACGGACATCAACCGGTTATAAAGATACTGTAGAAGGTTCTAAATTTTCCCAAGTGACCCGCGATTTTTTTTGTTTTCAAAGGGAAACCTACGTTTTTCTAAAACAGAAGTTTGATTACCCTGGAGAGTGATAGTGGCACAGAAATTGCACCATTTGGGCAGGCCTTCTATCTTTTCCCCAACAAGATCAGCCCTTACCGTGTTTCAGAGTGGGAGAAAAATATACTTTCACGGGGCTTTTGGCATCGTTCATAAAGAAAAAAAAATGTGATGGGAAATTTTCCGACAGAAGTAATTGCGTTTTGACTCAGAAAAGTCCCTCACTCGTGGTCATACTACAGACAAGAAAACCTCTCACTTTTTTCCAATGGCCGCCGCTGAACGTATGCTTCTAATCTGAGCCTCCATTTTCGCTCGAGATTTTTCGAGTTTGTTGATGGCTTCGCGAAGTTCCTTGTCGCGACCGTAAGTCTTGTTCTCCAGCTTCGCTATAGCTGCCTTCACCTTCTGCTCTACTTCGTTCTTCTTCGCTTCAGCCTTGTCAAATTCTGAATTTGATACACAAAATTAAGATTTAAAATTCCATTCGAAATCAAATCAACAAGACGCATTGTATTTACCTTTCTTCTTGCCATCCACGTCACTCTGTAGCGTCTTCAACATCGCAGCGTCGACGGTAGTTTCTTTCACTTTCTGCGTTTGCTGGGCTAGTTGACGCGTCAAAGTTGGCAGCAGGATTTTCGCTGACTACATGCGAAAAAAGGAACATTGATGTAATAGCTTTCAAATTTAAAGTCGAAGGGGCATGCAATTTTCGAGGGGCAAAACGGAAGATCCCCAGTTGGACTGCTTATAAAGAAAAGTAGATTTTCAAAAACTTCACACACAGAGAACAATTGATGACTTCATTTCAGTAAAATTTGTATTGATTTAAATAATTTGAAAAAGAAAAAGGCACTGCAAAAATTCTTCAGTACCGGGCTTAAAAATCGTTTTCATCTTTTATATCGAAAAAAACAGTACTGTACTAGGGAAGAAAATTTAAAAAAAATACTGATTCTTTCTGTTCAAAATAATTCAAGTTCAGCAAAATTGGACCAAAACACTGCTCGGAGAATAAAGTCATCTACTTCCCCAGGAAAGATTCACTAAATTATTTTTCTTTCCAAAACGACGAAATATTCGTTTCAATAAAATGATGTTCTTCATAAATCCGTCTTTTAATCATACATGCTTGTCAAAATTAAATCAAAATGAAAGAAAGACGAAATTTTTGAAACAGTTTTGGGCAGCCTGACATTAAAATGCTAAATTCTACACGTGATAATCGATGATGACTGCAGATTAACTTACCTCTATGTCCGTTTTCAGCTTGTGTGCGGCCATTTCCAGCTTCGGAATCTCCTTGGTTAGAGTGTCGTGCTCAGCATTAACTTGGCGAAGACTAGTTCGGATATCGTTCAATTTGTTTTGCAGCTCGAAGATTTTTTGTTCCATAGTCTCAACACTTCCCAGTGAACGATCCGCACGGGCGTGTGAGTCAACCATCACCTGCTGTCCCATTTTGCCACCCATCGGGGGACGACCACCGCCAGACATCGTACCTGCGCAGAAACGACTTCGTGAATAAGTTGCCAAATAAATGATCACTCTAGACTATATTCAACGATAAATATCAGTCAATAATGAAGAGATGAGGATGAGATGAATCTGAATGATCGTAGAATTTTGAATTATATCAACCTTTCGTTAGGTGACCCAAAATATTTTCATGTCATGCTCAAAATATGTTGACGATCCTAAATCTTCGAATCTTCCGATTCCCACTTTGAAAATTACCGCGTCGGTCACTTAGGGATGACTCGAGGAATGGAACATTTGATGAAAATACTAAAGCTGTTAATGCAGCTGAATAAGACATCGGAAAACGGCTGGAGCATTTGCAACGAAATTTTGAAAGAAAATGAAAGCTCTAGCCGGGAACACAGGAAAAATGATGCATGCCATATATTTTTGACGATTACATTCCTCATGTTCCCAATCATCAACATTATATATTCCTCAGATCCACTTTTCTTGAATGTATCATGCAGAGGGATGATTTTATCCAATACAAGAAATGTATCCCTGGTTTCATGAGCACACAAAAAATCTCCACATTAGCAATGCAAAAACCGAAATTATTGATGAAAACAGCACACAACAAATTATGGACAATATCCGGGTAATTCAGTTAAATTTCTGCAATCAAAATAATAATAAACTGAGGCGTTGAATATTTTTTTGCTAAGCATTTTTTGTTTGTTGATGTTATGAAGAAGAAGAGTAGAAAATTTAAAGAAAAGAATCCCAAGTTTCATCAGCAAACAATGAAAAGGACTCAATAATTCGAAAAACTGTTCAAATACCTTCCGCCTTTTCTCAAATCCTTTTGAACTGTTCTCATGAATAAAATCCTTAATACTCGAACAACTAAAACAGGACATGCATTCAGAACAACGAGAACACATTTGAGAAATGTTGTTCAGGGAAATTTTGCTTCTACAGACAAAACGAGAACTAATAAAAATGCCGAATGTCTCCAGAACTCACCTGATAATTCAATCAAGTCACCCCTGGTGGTGACTACGCGATACCTCGGCGAACCGTATGCCAATTCCGAAGCCCTGTCCAACCTATCAACCACGAGGGTCTCCTGCAAGCTGAAATAAAACGCAGGCAGGACTCGTGTGTCCTTCACTTGGATCAAATCAAAGACCCTCGGCGCGTCGTTGTTGAGGTCAATCGGTCTCTGCTTCTGGTGCGCGAATTTGACCTGCTTGTCCAAAGCCAGGAAGTTCGTCCGAGGAAGACTCTTTTGTTTAATGAAGTCGATGCACTTGCGTCCAGTTTCCGTCGTGTCCACGAGAATGTAGTCCAGGTGGCTGCAGGCGGTTGCGATCGCAATGTCGAATTTCTTGTCGATAGCACCCAAATCACCCTGAGAAATTTTGCAAAAGAGATTTTCATTATTATAGCATTAACTTCATTTCGCACCTCCGAGTAAAATTGAATACAGTACAATTTCTTTGATTTTGGATCCAGACAATCCGAAGAGTCAATCATTTCTTGATTAAAAACAGAACACTGCTAGGGTGACTTGAGCAAAAATTTTCCGCAAAATACTGTATATCGAACAGGGCTGAACTTCATTTTTTGCCAAATAATGTTCTTTTTTGTGAACAAATGTTTTTAAAACTCAATCATATGTCGTTTCAATTTCTATTCCGAGAAAATTTTTTAGAATGTGGATGTTATCAAGAATTAAAAAAGCATTTATACACACAGTTCAATCTGCAACAGCAATTTTATCGAGCATAAATATGATTACAATCATTGTGAAAAATATGAAAAAGCCTGTATTCGGTACTATTAGACAATATCGCGGATATTTTTTTGCCTAAAAACAATGGATGAAGCACTGGATAATTTACCATACGACCGAGAATGCCGGGAATCCGGCCCGAATCCTTCTCTTTCATCAAAGCCTGCAACGCTGCACTTCCGCGTTGCAACTGTTTCATGGACTTTTTCTTCTCAATCACCAAGTCTTGGAGACCTCTCAATTCTTTCGCAGCTTCTTCTTCTTTATCCATTAGTTCCTGAAACATAACCCTTCGTTAGATATGGAGTCCAAGAAAATTTAGCGCTTCAGAAAACTAACGCTGCGCTCTGCGTCGCATTCCGGAAGCCGATGGGATTTTGATTTCAAAAGATCCTGAGTTTGTCGTAAGTGATCAGTTGTTTCGGCCAGCTTGGTTTTTGTGTTCTCGATTTCAGATTTGCATTTCTCCAACTTCTGCTTCTCGTTCTCGTCGTGCAACACGAACGCGTTCAGCTTTTCCGCCGCAATGTCCATCTGCGAAGGCAAGAAAAAAACTCAGATAATGAGAACTGTACTATTGTTGACTGAATGATGTCCAGTGACGGCGAAATTAATCAAGCTTTTTCTGGATGTTAAAAAATGAAACCGGTAGCAAAAGAAATAGTTTTTCCGCTTCAATAATCGATCGGCTTTACTTGAAAATTTATTTTTAATCTGAGCGCCCAACATATTTTTCAAGTTGCGGTTTTGGAAACAAGCAATGTGAAAATATTCACAAGAACAAGAGAATCTTTTCTTGAGAGTGTGGATCCAGAAATTATTCGCCACTCCAGATAGATCAAAATTCTTCACTTGATAGGTTTCAAGCCTTAGATTTAGACGAATAAACAAACGAAAAATGTTGAAGCAAACGTACAGCGTATTTGCACTGTTGATAAGCATCCCTGGGAGCACTGAGCTCGGCGTCCAACTTATCTCGTTCCGCCTTGTAATTGGCGGATTCGGCTTCCATCGCTTTGCTCACAACCACGAGCTCGGCTCGCATCGGTTCAACATCCTCCTTAGCCTTTTCGATTTTCTCCTCAAGGTCCTTTACAGCGGCTTCGTCCAAAGCCGGCTTCTCCCGCAATTCAACCAAATTTTTCTCGAGCTTATCCAGCCCCTTTCCAGTTGCTTTCAACTTTTCCGCGATTTCTTTGCCTTGCTGCTGCACTCGATGATCTTCGCCTTCCGCCGCATGGAAAAATTCTTTCGCCTTGTCAGTTTTTTCCAAGTGAGCCGAGATTTTCCTGAGGAAAAAAAAGATTCTCTTGAAGCAGAATGAAATATACACGCAGGAATAGGGAAACAAACACAGATTTACGAACGGCTTTGGCTATCACGTTAAAATATATACATAAATACTGTAGATAAAATATCCAACAATTAAGAATAAAAAAAATATACCGCATAATACATGATATAAAAATATAATACTGTACTGTACAGTGAATTTATACCATCAAAAATATACTGTACTGTATTAAATATTTTTCTTACCGTAGCTGGAACTCATACACCTTTCCAATTACAACCAATATCATATCTTAGGCCCTAAGAAATCACCAGGACAACGTTTTAGGAGATAATTAAGAAATTCAAGACAAATTAGTCCTCCTAGAAAAATCGGGGACAACCAAAAGCTCAATCAAAAGATACCAATGTTGAAGAAGTATAAGAAATATAACCAATATGAAATAATAGTATCCCATAAAATGATATGCAGCTAAATTTGGGGTTAAACAACTAAATGAATAAAATCAGAGCTTATAAAAATTATCTGGAAATTTTTGTAAATACCACAGGAAATATTATACAGTACTGTAGTGGAATTAAAACGAATAAAAGCAGTCTTTGAAAATTATGGAGATCACATAGAATACATTTTCCTTCATTTAGAAATCCCCACGTTAAAACAATTCCGTTTCTCTTTTGAAATGAAACAACTTTTCATTTTCAAGTTCAACCATTACTACCACATCTCGAAAAGCGCAAAAAATTGCGGAACTGTTTTCCCGTGTGAAATTTTCCCAGAAATGAATCGAAATTCAACCACAATGGACAAATAAACTTCCATGAGAATTCTCACGATATTTCACGTGAGAAGCCCTGATACATTATTTTATTTCAAGTTTTCGTTTTCCAATTTACTGTAATATTTAAAATAGGAAGGTCAGGAAACTCACTTTTCTTGATCAAGCAGTTCCTTACGAATTCCTTCAACCGCCTTCTTGGCATCTGCGGCGTTCTGACGTAATTCCGCGGACTCAGTTTCCACTGCGGTTTTCTTTTGCTCAACATCCTCGATTTTGCGGTTCACTTCCCGCAACTCGAACTGGTAGAGCACGTTCTGCGTCTCCGTCATTTCATTGTGTTTGTGGAGGTAATTCAACGCCTTCCTCATGGGCTCTTTCAACACACTCATCTCCTTCTCCTTGTTCTTCACTTGTGTCAGTCGCAAGTCGGTCTCTTGCTCAACAACTACCAACTTCTCGCCCAATTCTTTCAAAGGTTTCTATGAAAAAAAAAATTGCATACCAGTTTCAGAAAAATATTCAACTGCAAAGAAAAAAACATTTTAACGCTTCCTGAAGACACAATTTCTCATTAATATCACAATATGAAATTATAGTATTTCCACTCTTCGATGTAAACCTCCCCACTCGATTATTTTCATTGCAGTTTTAATGTGTTGAAATCTTGAATCTAAAATTACGGAATTTTAGAATACGCAGTTTAATTAAAATAACGATACATAGACAGATGTAAAATATCTGATATGACATAAGACTTGGGGTCAGACGACTTCTCACGGAAAAACCATTCCTTAGATATCCGGGAACAAATGTATGATTCAGTCAGCACTATTTTACACACTACTACAGTACATCTTTTTTCGGAGGCAAAGTAAATATAATTCACGGTTATATTAAATACTGATTGTATAACTGCTTTCAGCTTCGATCTGAAACTCAAAAACTGAAAGAACAAGTGTGGAATATAACCAATTACCGTACCTTGTACCGGCAGGTGCCAATCACATCTTCAAGATATTCAAGTAATCCTGACTCGTGCTCAGTCGCAGCTTTTGGTTTCATCAACGAAATCTTCTCGATTTCTCCCTGCAATTAAATCAGTTATTCATGAACTTTTCCAATACGAAATATCATGCGTCGAAAAAATTAGTGTGTAGGGAAAAATCTGCGCGGTTCAAACCTTGAGTTACACGCGTACAATACTGAATATTTACACGCAGGCAAATATTTTGACGAGGTTTGAAGGTAAACATAATACGGTACTGAAAACGAGAAAGTTAGGGCCGTACTTTTGTTATTTTACAAAAAATCAGATTCTATCTTCATTACCTGTATTTTACAATAGAAAGTACTATATTACGGGAAAAAGGAGAGAATGCAACTCGGGACGACCGCGATTTGAATTGAAATTCATTCGTGACTACCAATGAAAACTACCCAAATTAAGACAATTCGTCGTCATAGCGAACAAATTAGAGAATATTTACTGAACTGTTCACAGTGATTTCTCGGACGCATGCTTTAATCCGTTACAAGTTTCGATGCTTGCCTGTAGAATGAGGAAGCGGTTATGCGCGAGATCAATGTTCTCGTTCATCAAAAACGAGGTAATTTCCTTGTAGGAGCAACGTTTGCCGTTCAATTCGTAGTACGAACTGCAGTCGCGATACGCAGTTCGAGAAACGTTGAATTCGGAGCCTTCGCACACGTCGAAGCCACCGTCAGGGCGATCCATGATTTTGGAAAAGCAGACGGTGACCTTGCAGGAATTCACGCTCTTCAGCTGGTCAGACCTGTGCACCAGATCGCCGACCTTTTTGCACCGGATACGACTCGCTTTGACTCCGAAAACAAAGAGGATGGAGTCCAAAAAGTTACTTTTCCCGCTCCCATTCGGGCCGACGACTGACGTGAAGTTCTGAAACGCGAGAGGATGCATTTATGAATATTTTATCATTGTTTCGAAATGCGGTTCCGTTCTCTCTTTGTTAGCTTTACGACGCGAAACTCTGGAAAAAGACCACCCATGTTTATGCTGGGTCGCCGAAAAGAAGAAAAGGTATACTGTACTTATAGAAATCTTCTTCTAGATACTGTACGGTTTTGTACTTTACTGTACAGTACTTCCAAATAACAGCTTTTCTTTCAGCATTATTTCTCCTCTGTCCTCAAATTCATCGTTTGCCAGATTTCGTAAACCCGATGAAAAATTATATTTGCCTTCTTACAAAAGAGCTACCAAAAACCAGGGTGCGACCAGGAATCGTCTTAGAAAGGTAAATGAATCATACATTTCATGAATGCGAATAGTAGGTATTTTACGAAGAAGCGTACACCGAATCCACCAGTAGATACTGTACATAAAAAAAACTGATACACACATGATGCAAGGGACCCAAATGATGAACTCCTCCGTAACTTCTGAAGTTTTCACTGTGCACCGACGTGATCATCAGACGGGGTCCATCAGGTTTCAAAGTAAGTGCTGGCTTCGACGGTGGTGGGACATAAACTCCTTCAATCATCTACAAACAAACGAAGACATAAATTAGATAATCGAAATTATGCCAAAAAACATAGCCCTGAAAAAAAACATATTACGGGACTCCAAAAAAACATTATACGGCATTCAACTAACCGTATTCATGCAAATACAAGCCGTACTTTTAATAATAAACACAAGTATGCTAACCTGGCCACCCTCTTCCATCTCGAACTCCTCTTCTTCTTCCCCGTGCGTGAGTGACAAATCGATTTCCGGAGAGGAAGGCCTCGCATGCGTTCTTCGCCGCTCATCATTCGATTTCCTCGCAGAGCGCGGGCGAGGTTCTCCAGCTTTCCCCTCCATATTTTTCTTTCACCTTTCTTCACTCAAATTTAAAATTAACCACGTTCAATCAAGAATTACGCAGTCCACAACGAAGTAATCTTCGTATAGGTCGGAGCCCAACTTCGAGTAGATTGACCTCGTACAAAAGAAAACATACTTCGAGATGCCACGTGAATAACCTAGAATCGAAAGATCCGTCAGATTATGGACGATAGGGAATCAGACCAGAAAAGCATACACGAAAAGAGCTAAAATAAGAATTACGTATGAAAAAACGGGCAAATTTTAAAATGATAGTCGACAAAAGCCGCAAAAGCAAACAAAGGGGAAAATATTCGAACAGCAACTTCCCAACAATTCCGGTAAAGTTAATTCAGGTCAAAGATACTTGTCTCTGTGAACGGCCTTTTCAGTGCAATCGCTGTTTTCAGACTTCCCATTCGCTACATGTACTTTTTGGCGCCTTTTTGACGATTACTCAGTCGTGCACTTGCTCTTCTGAGATTTGATATTTCGTGCTACATCGCATTAAAGACGTTTTCGAATTGTACGAGTTCTGAAAAAGTTGTCACAAGTTTCAAGAAGCTTTGTGAAATTATTCGCGTTTAAAAATGTGAATTCGAAGAAGTGAAACAACCGCACAAAACACATGATTCATTCCACATATCAAAAAAAGGGGGTGTTCACAACAGCGGCTTCAGTCTGAGCACCCAGTGCCGTTCTCTTCCTTCAATTAGGAACCCGGGTGCCATTCGCGTCATCAAAACGCGAAAAAAGGAACCAAACTGGAACCCGTAGTCGACCGGATTCGTCATGGTTATCTTATCAGCCATTTCCAAGACGAGGAAACTAGCGGCGGGAAGTTGGAGTTTTTTACTCAGCTGAATGCATTGCACACCGGCCCGGATGTCCGACACGACTATGAAGCTTAGTTGAGGACATGCTTCTGAGATCTCTGCTTCATCTTCGTCGTCAATCACCACCAAATCTCTCTAAATACAGAAGAAAAGTAATGAGAAAAAGAACAAATTTCCTTCTTTACTAAGTGCACAAGAAATGGCAAAATATTCTGCATACCGAGTTTAATTTGAGGACGAAAATGTTCTAAATCAATCGTTGGGAAAAATTTCAGCCATGTTAGCAATAAAATAAATACAGGGAAAAAACTCGGCACCAAATTTGAGAATCTTTGATCTTTAACGAAAAACTTCGTCACCTGGAATTATCATAAGACGTGCCTACATGAAAAAGCAGAACGAAAAAAAAGGCCTAAAGTGATCTTACTTAACCCAAGCTAACTTGAATAATTGACGGTAATCCAACTTAATTTAGTCGTATACCATACATGTGTTTAGAACTAAACGAAAGTAACCAAACCTCATCAGAAATAATCTAACCCAATCAAACGACATAGCCTTATCCAAATAATGCATGCTAGCGTAACTCAAACCGGTTCAACGGCTGAACCTCCTTATTTCATATAATTAGTTCTCACAAAATGTTGTATAATTCAGAATAAAGCAGGTCGGGCAGGGTTTTTTCGAATAATTCAGCGTCAGGTAGGCCAGCCTGGTAGGGTTTGATTAATTTGATTAACAAATTGCGGTGCGACCAGCAATAAAAAGCAAGAACTGTACCATCAAACTTCCCCAACATAAGTTAACGTGATCACGCTAGAAATGTGAGCGCCTGCATGTACGAAACACTAGAAACAGGCTTTTTTCTAATTCGAAATCTTGACTACAGCAACATCCTGCTCACAACATGGTAATTCATGTTAAACTTCATTAAGTGCTTCATTAGAAAAACAGAAGTAGACAAGATCAGAGCACTTTTCCTTCGCAACAGGGTTTTGAGTTCGAAGACATCATTCCTGGAGTGATTTGTCTGATCATTCGGTATCATTAGGGCCACTAGCGGATGAATAAAACATGCAGAACTTCCGGATTTCAATTCGTTTCCTAAAAGATAGCGCTACTTTAACCGTTTTCTCTCCTTGGGGTGGCGAAATTGAAACAAAAGACAGGGAAGAAATCGACACTAGCACAGTATAATCATTTCGAAAAACAACTAAGCTGACCGAAAGGAAAAACAAGCAAAACTTTCGGATTTACTATCGTGCAGTAAATCTTAAATCTTAGTTGTACTAAATTCAGGTCACGACACAAGTACTGACAGTCACTTGAACGCATTTTAGTGTTTTACGATACTTTCACTGGGTTGGGACTAGGTTAGTGATGACATACTGCGCATTATACGATCTCAGCCAACATGTTCTCAGATGCGTTCGGGAGTCTAGTCTCAAAACAAACACAACGGCATTCTTGGCAATTGGACTGCACATCACTGACTCACCAGTAACCCAAAAACACCGGGAAGATTTTCTTTCTTCAGAGCTTCATACACGCGCGAGGCGTCACACGCACTTTTGATCTCGTAATCGTCGGCGTCAAACTTTCGAACAATCGCGAGTTGCCGCGGCTGTAAGCAATCACGCAATGCAATTTCCTTCGCCCTTACGAGCACTGGATCATTATTGCGCATGTCCTAGAAACACAGGATGGAAAGCGAGCATCAGCACACCGCGAAAATTGAAAAATGTTGGTAAAGGACACACACGAGAAGTTTGGATAAAGACCAGGGGGAATTTTACCCACTGCGGCCAAACTACGACAAGCGCAGTTAGGCGCTGACATTCATTCATCTCTCCATATTCACAAATAAAGCACAATGGATGGGAAACGGCATTTGACAGCGCTTCCGAAAAAAAAGAGGAACCAATAGAGGCCATTCTCTTGGAAAATCTTTTACCTGATTCAACCCGATTTGAGGAGAGTTTTTTTTCGTTTTTCTTCTTCTTTCTTACAAATAACCGCAGTCGAACTAGTTCGACCAAAAGGCCTAGTGTGCATACCGTGGCACTCTTACAAGCTTCTGGGGGAGAATTTCGATTACTGCTCACCCGTCACTTCAAAAAACTTTTTCCCCTTCGCAAAATCAACAACTAATGAGTTCACTTGAGCAACTGAGGCCTCGAACTAGTAGTTCCCCAGTCTGGGTTCACCATCAGTCAGCACTGGGCTGTACCGAAGAAATCCAGCTCACTCGTCAACAATCGTAAGGATTAAATTCGCGTCGTTGATCCTGTCGATAGGACGTCGGATTTATTCTGCAAGGGTTCTTTTCAGCGCCGAGTTCAAGTCAGTCAACTGCGGAAGTGAACCCACATCGTATAGGGCGTCCAAAAGTTACTGCACCATTCAAAAAATCAGTACTTACGCGGTGTATCAAATCTTGGGCGAAAAGCACACTAACTCGCATCAAAATTGGAAGATGATAAGATGGTAGACATACGACTGCTCGACGCAGAAAACCATGGAAAACATTTTCCCTCAAGTATCTCATACATTCAATCTGGAACTCACTGATCGTGTGCAGACAGGAGGAAACCAGAATCAGATGCTGCACATGAAATGCTGAAAAAGTAAACGTCACCAAGAGTGCTAGCGACATCCACACACAGTCCCAAAAAACTTGTCGCCGGGAAGGACACATTTTTTCAGTGCACTCAGTAACTTTTTGGACACCCTACGTAACTCAATAGCATAGAATTAAGCCTAGAAAAAGCTTTTCTTCGAGACAACTTTTGCACGGTATTTTTTGAGAAAGAAAATCAACAATTCTACACCAGAAAACCGAACGAATAGACGTCAAAATAGCATCTAAAATACCCTAGAATATTTCGAAGACGCCAACTTTCATTCTTGCGGAAAGGCCTCAGGTTCCGCCATCAGTCTTTCTCTCATTTTTCCTACTTCTTCTTGCCGCCCTTCATGTTGTTCATATTATTAGCTCCGCCGCGCGGGGGAGTAATTGGGCGACTCGCACCCGCATTCAGTCCACCGTAAGGAAACTTCTTTTTGTCCGCGGGTTTCAGGATTTGGAAAGAGCACATGAGCGTTTCGTCAACAGACATCATGGCTCCGGCGTTGTCGAACTCTCCGCAATAATTGGGTGCTGAGAAAAGAGTGACCAGTTGGCGCTTGGCGAAGAATTCGTACCCGTCCTCAACGACTTGGTGAGCGCGACAGATCAAGTCGAAGTCGTGTTTCTGGAGAAACTTCGAAACTATGTCAGCACCGAAAGTGAAGCTCACGCCGCGATCGTTCTCGCCCCAGCCCATCACGTCCTTGTCCGGATCAGACCACAGCAAGTCGCAAAGCATTCCTTGGTCGGGCACGTCCGTGGGTCTCATGATGCGCCTCACCTGAAAATGAAAATTCAAAGGATTAGACGGATACTTAGAGAAGGAGCGCGGCGTGAGCTTCACAGGCCACATTAATGTACCAAGCACACAGAGGGTAAAATTGAGGTCATAATCAATCCGCGTTCTCGATTGTCACGGATGCCCGATAAAGTCATGTCACGTTTGCATGACGCGCGTGAACTTTTTGGTGGGTTACCTCTCGTGTACAAGTGCCAAGTCTTTCCTCACAGGTCTAACCGTACCATCAAGAATTTAGGCATTTTCAATTTTTCATGACATTACGTGCGCCTGCCCACCTTACTTTCTCAAAGTTCGCTGCAACCTCACGTTACAATATGATCTTGCTTGAGGTAAGTTCAAAATTTGAGATATACCTGTTCCATGCTCTGCAAATCCGGGCTTAGTCCTCCATGACAACAGAAGATCTTTTCGTCCACAATTGCCGCGGTCGGCAAGCAGTTGAAGCAGTCAGTAAACGTTTTCCAAAGCTTAATATTATACCTCCGCTTGCATTCCTCGTAGAAGCCGTAGATGCGGTTGATAGACGCACATTCATGGTTGCCACGGAGAAGGAAGAAATTCTCCGGGTACTTGATTTTGTACGCGAGAAGTAAGCAGATCGTTTCGAGACTTTGCTTCCCACGGTCGACGTAGTCACCGAGAAACAAATAATTGGACTCCGGAGGGAATCCCCCGTACTCGAATAATCGCAGCAAATCGTAATACTGTCCATGTATGTCCCCGCAAATCTTCAATGGCGCTTCTAATTCAAGTAAAATGGGCTGTGAAAGGAAGATTTCACGCGATTTCGTGCATAAGCCGCGGATTTCTTGCTCCGAAAGCTGCACATTCTTGCCAGGCCTAGATCCACGGACTTCGAGGAGACGTGCTATAATGCTATCTATGTTCAGCCGTTCGTTGTCTGCCATCACACAGTCGGAACGCCAAGAAGAAAGTTCTTACGAAGCAGGAATTTGTCCCACACGCGAAATTAATGTGGGATCAAGAAGTCTGCGAAAACGTAACGAAAATAGACGGAAAGTTGATTAATTGAACAGCTGCTTTTCAAATTGCGGCGGTCAACGCGTAGAGGTGGTGAAATTCTTGGAAATCACGGAGATGAGAATAGCAAAATCCTAAAATTCGTCCGAAGCACATTCCCGAGGATTTCGGGGGGGAGGGAGGGGCCTACGTGACAATCACCAATTCAAAAACCGATGTGACCCACGATGTAAGAACACTCCAACACATACCTGCACAAAATCCGAACACTGAAAATTGCCTTTCACGTTCAAAAATGAAAACACGACATTCAAACAATCTGAAAATGCATCCGAAACTGCATGAAAATTACTCCGCGCAATTCAAAACTTTGTTCGTTTTTTCAGCTGGCTCAAACGGCAGGCGGGAAATCCTCGCAACCTTCAGGGTGGATCACTTGAACAACACACAGACCACAGTTAACCATAAAGGGGTCTAAGTACGTTTACTCTACTCTAATAACGAATCAAAAGATGACAATACTGTACCGATTCCCTAAACCACCTTGAATGTAATTTGGCATTTGCAGTTTCAGAGCAAAGTAGCCGATTCATAGCAACGTAAAGGAATATGGTACTGTACAGGGTGTCTTCCGTTTCTCAGCACTGTAATACAGATGGAGCTTGATGGAGTCCAATAAAATCCATATAATAGACTCGATCTGTATTAGCTCAAGTGAATCACTGCCGCATTCTATTTTTCAAGCATGCATCAATCCATCATGTTAATTTTTCACAATTTTTGCAGAATACATCAAGCTGCAAAGATGTATGAACAAGGATAAAAGTTTTCAGATGCGTTTTATATAAAAGTATATACAGCAGTTCTTATTCCTGTATTACACGTCTCACGCAACTGCTATCATCACGTTACTGCTGATTAGCTTTAATGACGATTATCTTTAATAATACGAATACAGTATTAGAACTATTGATAGAAGCATGGAATTCGAAAAGCAAGTGCTTTAATTGTGAGAAAATATACCACAGCAGCACTCTCTGATCCATCGAAACAGCTACAGTAATAAGTTTCTTAAAAATCTATATCGATTTTTAATCCATATAGATATAGATTGCCGAATAGTGGTACAGTATTGATACATAGTATATCAATGCCACCATTCGGCAGCAGCGTTTACAATTTTTCCTGAATCTCAAATCTAGCAGAACAATCTCAGAAAAAACTTTATAGATAAACTACGAAAAAATAAAAAAACTACTGTGGTACGGGTGTTGACATACATGTGATGGGACATACAGCGTTGAAGAACAAATCGGATTTGTCGTACGTTTCGCTCATGTTTCACAAATATAGATTTAAAAATGTGCGGAGAAGATTTTTCTCATTTCCGTCGTTCTTCATTTACAGAAGCAAAATTTTCAATTTCTCACAAATTCAATCACGCTCGTTTTCCCACGTTGATAATTAAACGTCACACGTATACTTCTCCTTTCATATTTTCCTTTTTATTATAGCGGCACTATTATATACATTCAAGCGAGAATAAAAAAGTTGATTAATATGCAATGAATTGCTTTTGGTATGTCAGTAAGTGGTATAAATAAGGGTGGGGAGAGATCCATTCTTGACGAGATCAAGATAAATCCATTTCTTTCCTGCAACCAGCAGCGAAACTCCATTGATCTGTTGAAAAAAAGAGTAAGAATACGGATTCAAAAGCATCATGAAGCTCGTGTTTTGTGCTTTTTTTGCTTACGCCATTGTTGTCCATTCCTCAGCAGCCATGGACAATGTGCACAACAACCGTAAGTCTTGAAATACTGTTCTAAATTTTTTCTCACATTCTCTCAATCAATCATCACAATAAAACTTTTCTTCTACTGATGTTTGAATATCTCAAGAGCCCAAGGAAGTGTCGCAGCAGTCGAGCCAATCTGTGGAAGCTATCAATAACGCAGCAGCAGCAAAAGGCCCAGAAAAGCAGGAGACGTTGAAACCCGAAGCACAAACTCAAGTGCCTTTTCCAGTCAGCAACAGCCAATTCCCAAACCAACAACAGCACGGAAATCAAGGAGACCTCGTCAATAACAACCCTCAACATCAGAACAACGAGGGAAACCCACCAACAGACCTCAACAACAAACCCAAGAATCCTAATTCAATATTAGACGGGACTCAAGAGGCAAATCATGTATCAGGTACCCAAAGTCCATCAGCATTCACCAAATTTGACAATACCCCAACCTTGATATCATCGCGTTCTACAGGACAACCCAACATCGTTCCGAATGCAGGGGAAACCACTTCTTCTGACGAGAAACGGAAGCTCACTGCTCCATGGCCCGCTACCGTCGCACAGCAACAAAACTAAATTTTATTCCGCATACTGTAATTGCTCTTCGGGAAGATTGTGAAATACACACACACACACACAAAATATAAAGTGCATAATTGGGTTTCCTTCCCTGCATGCGGAAATAAGTTGATGCTGCGGCATAGAAGGCGCGGGCATAATGCAAAAGAAAAATATACACTAACTAGATTTCCCAATGCTGGGTATGGGAACCCGACTTTGGTTACTAAAGCCCATCCATACAGAGATAAGACACTTTTTCAGATGAAAAATACGGATTTACATAAATAGACGGGTCAGGACAGGGACTTCTGGCAGTTTCCTTCATCCTCCGCTTGTCACCTAGTGCGTGCGGCTCATCCCCTTTATACTTTCACATCATCCCAACATATTTTTATAGTGTCTCCAGCAGAAAATGGTTTCCTTAAAGGCTGCTCTCCTCTTGCTGGGGTTAACTGCTTGCGGTAACGAATACAATTTCCTGAAACAGACTAAATCTCGTTGACAAATTACAAAACTTGTTTCTTTTGTTTCTGGAAACCCAGGGATCTCCGCGGCACCCGCGGACATTCAGAGCATGAACAACGCGGCACCAGTAGGTAATAACCCGGCGCAACCACCACCACAACAACAACAATCTCAGCAACAAACAGTCGATGGGATCATCAATGACAAACCAGCCCCTGAAGCACCTCCGTTGGCAAGCCCACCGCAAGTACCCAGCAATAGTGACAAAAACAACAACAACATGAACAAAACAGACCCAGCACCAGTGATCAACGACAGGCCCGGGAATAGTAACCTACCCAGCCATGGTGATGCTCCATCAGCAGACACGCTTCCAGCTGGCATCAGTGCTGGGAAACCCGCAGCAGCAGCCGACACACCGCAACAAATGAACAACAGGCCTTCATCATCAGACCCGTCCGCATCACAAGTTATCAATGATAAACCCTCACTAGACCAGCCCCCGAAAGATAGACAATTGCCGCAGTTTCTCTCCTCAGGCAACGCGAGTCAACCCGGTGCGCAGAACAAGATTGAGCAGGGCAGTGCTCAACAACCACCATCACCACCGCAACAACAACAACCACCACCACAGGGAAGTGCTCCGGCATCAGACGGGAGTTCCGGACAAGCGCATACAGAAGCGATGCATCTCGCAAGGAGAAAGCGACAGGCCGGTATTCCTCCATCTTGCTGCTCCAAGGATCCGTGCGACCCGTGCGCCACAACGCCCTGCATCGCGTGCCCCATGTGTCAATAGCAGGAAGAAGACGTTGGCAGATATCCTGTGCGCCCACGGTTGTGCTTAGACGAATGAGCGTTTCCTGCTTGATTTATCGCTCAACAGCATCAACAACACAAATCAATCGTGAACTATCATGCTGCGAATACATGAAAAGTTTCACCACATTTATGTATTCTGGCTATAAATAAATGCGCAAGCGTTTTCATCCGTCTTTCCCCGACTTTGCTACAAGGTTATATTATTCATCATCAGGTATTAATCAGATGATGATTCCAATTTTTTAGTATACAACGGAAGGACTGCATTTCAAAACTTCTCAAGGGAAATATGAAAAGACACGGATGTAACAATGCTGAGCCCACATTAATTATTGATGCGATTTCAATTGCAAGAAGTCGTTTCTTTAGGATGGAACGAGATGATTTTCTCATCAACATACGTGAAAACCCAATTCTGTAGATGTTAAAAAGGGTTTTCATCTGTTGCTAAAAATATCTGTCTTAAATTGGAAGTTGAGAAAATTTTTTTTATATTCAGAAAAGAAGAGAATTTCTACCATGCTTGCAGGTATTAACGATAAAATGTCAATTACAGTACAGTATTGTGAAAGATGAGTTTTTGTCACATTATACCTGCTACTGTACATCAGATTTACATTCTGGTTATCATCCACATTCAGAGTGAGTAGAATGGTTCCAGTCCTAATCTTCTGCATGTCAAGCATGAATATACATCATGTACACATCCACACATGAAAAACTATGCGTGGAAAACTGTAGTACGGAACATAAATTTCATCTCATATTTTGCTGCACAAGCGTTATAAAAGACATTCAAAATCATGAACATTAAATAAGTAAAAAATGCTTTGGTCCAACATTGGCTCCTGTGTGTGAAGTATTTCCTCCTTCAATTGCTGAAGATTCTCCGTCTCTGATTTTTTCATGATCAAGAAACCTGCAAAGAACATGATTTCAAGATAAAGTTTTAAATGCATATACAGTATATATAATGTATAAACTTATACTGCTCATATGCAGCATTGAATACAATCTCATTCTAACAAAGCCATATTGCTGGGACTTGCAAAAATGTTTGCACCATGACTTTCTCGCGTCAGGAGTCAAAAGAAAACATTGTGGCCATAACTTGTACATTAAAGGGGATTTTAATAAAAATAATTTTTAGACTAAGATTTGTTGTAAAAAGATTTTACTGTATTAGTATACAGTACAGTACAGGATAGTCTGCAAATCCTTTGATCTGGCTTGAGTGGAACAGCAGACAGAAAGTCCAAAACATTTGATTTTCAAAAGTCTGCGGCTATAGTGGTCAATTTTCAAAAACATTCCACACCAATGCTGTGGACATTTGCATGAGGAAAAATGAATCATAGATTTAAGGGATTGTTTATAGAGCACTGAAATCGTTTGCATGAACATAAATTGACATAAGACTATTTTATTGGCACCCAATCAAGCATAATTTTAATAAAGAATACTTCAAAATTCAGAGAATCAAATAAAAGTGACAAATGAACAACTCAGCTATATTTTTTTTACAAAAAGCTTTTTTTGTTCACCTGCTGGTACAATAAAAATCATCCAGAAACGCAGTGAAATTCACGCCGTATTAGGAACAAATTACAAAACACAATAAAATTACCAATGCTGGTCCACTGAATTTCAGAACTCTCACTGAAATGCAGAACTACCTCTCATTCAAGTTCGCAAAAACAAAACCGGGCTTGGCCGCCATTTTGCCTTCAGCAAAACTACGTTACTCACAGAAAAAAACTTCCGAACCGAGAAGAATAAACACTAGAAAATTGCTGTCGAAAAAATTTAAAATGTTCACAAATGAAGAATGCTTTCAATGAAATAAAAAGGTTACTTACATTCATCTTTTATACTGTAAAACAGCATATTCCCAAACCGACATACAGTATAGGAATTAGAAGAAAAATAAAAATAAAATTGAGGGAATTATATTTTCTTTTACACTGCATGCAGAGAAAACCTTTCAAATGAGGCTACTATGAATCATATTTACCTAAACAATTATACTAAAAGATGTCTTCTTGAAATTTTCCAGCTAATATGCAATATTGTACCTTCATTTTACTCTATGAATAAATTAATTAGAACACCCATTAAATGATTTCCTACATGTTACTTGGGAAAATCATGTCAACAAATGCTTTGCGCAATGGATAACTCCGTAGGCTATATGCAGTATTGGAATGGATCAGGTTTGTTGTTAAAAGGCAACACTGTAAAGTACTGTACATGCACAGTACATTATTTTCAAAATACTGTACTGTATGTACCAACATTAATCCAACCAATGGAGTCATGAAAAATTGACTGGAGTAGCAGAACGTTGAACCTTTCATATTTTAATAAAATTAAAGAGCATGAGTCCATTCTGGTGGAGATGGATTTGTTCATGGGAATTTCAAGACAAGCTGTTATTAGGCTGAATTTTGAGTTATTTCACTTAGATGTTCTAGGATGAACTTATGAACAACAAAAAAACAACAAACTTATTATACCTGCAACATCCAAAAGTCTATATACATATTTATATATAGTCTATATAAACAAAAAAATATTTTTTAATTCATCAACATGATCGTCCCATTTTTCAACCTTTCGAAGGATGACTTCATTGACCATTTTCTGGCTTTCAAACAATGCGGTCATTCAACAGCCAATCAAGATTCGAAACGGCGGGGAAACAGACAAGTGCCAACAAATTTGACCCAGTTCGGAAGATAATATTTTTGCAAATATTTCCCTATCCCCATGATTGACAAAAACAAACTACTTATTTGTCACACGAGTGCACAATTACCAACGAATCAAAAAATTTCGCAAATGTGCACCAAAAAAATAGGCACAGCCTGAAAAAATTCCTGATACATCAGCAGATCAAACAGATTTCTCGGAAAACCTAGATAACATAACGCAAACATACCCTCTTTTTCCGTGGGTGAAAATTGAGCAATTACGATGGAGCCACTCCCCCGTGGTAATTCAATTCCACAGCTTATCCCTCGTCTCGTATATAAAATTGGTTACAGAGTTTGAAGATGCCACATTTGCGTAGTGTTCATCCCTACACACAGAAACAGAGGTCGAATCATTACGTGACGAAACATCATCAGCACCATGAACACTTACACACTCACTCTTCTTGCTTCCGTGGTCGCTGGCACCTTCATTTTCGATGGTATGCTTCTTATTCCAGCGACTTCCATGAAAGTACGGTCAAATTAAACTCGAGTATTACTTCAGTTGACTGACAGATACGGCAGAAAATAACCAGAAGTGTCTTTTCGTCGATAAATCCGCAGTTGCAGAGACGGGAAGTCACTCGAGCATGTCCTTGTCGTCCAGCGAAGAGAAGCCGAATCCGAGCTTCAACCAACTCATGCCTCAGTACGTGTACAGGACCCAGTACAACAAGTCGAAGATGAATGTCAAGCCGCTGTCGTCAGTGTCGTCTTCGGAAGAATTGCCGACAGTTCCTAGGGAAAGTGATCATGTGAGGATCAAGAGACAAGCAGGTATTCCTCCGAGTTGCTGCTCCAAGGACCCTTGCGATCCGTGTGCAACCACTCCTTGCATCGCTTGTCCCATGTGTCAATGATTATCGAGTGGTACCAATGGATAAACTCAGAAAAATACAAAGAAAATGCGCATTCTATTTGAAAATTTGTCAACGAATTTCTTCAGCATTCATACGCAGTTGAACGTGGATGACTCGAATTAACCTCTCCAATACGGATTTTCTCCCGAGCCCCTGTTCCCTTAGATACAATGCATCAAAAACCTCAGTAACTCGAAGGCTTTCCCTAAAAAAAAAACCCAAAAACTCGAATTTTCTGTTGGCCTTTTAGCTATTATTTAATTAACACAGGAAAGAGAAAAGCAATTGAAATGTCACTTGATGCGTTTTGAAAGAAAGTAAAAGTGCAATGCAT